AAGCATCCTTCCAACTAGGATACTCCATGTTCATATAGGAAATGCTCTTTAATTAGGGGTTTGTCTGGAAGCATTTGCCATTTCTTCCTGGTGATTTATTGGATATATGTATGTGAGTGTATGTGTGTAAAAGGAGAGCATTTGTGTGAACTTTATAATGCTGTGATGTAAGAAAAGGTATTTCATTTTATTCTAGAAAAACCCAAGAGAATAAATCAAAATTCTGAAGGTGTCATCAAGCTTTCCATTCAGACGTGTATCAGGTATGATTTTAGGGGAAACTCAAATGCTTCTTGGAGGGCTAACTACAGCATGGCAGGAACAGGATTCTGAAACCAGGAGAGCTGGTTTAAAACATTATCAGTGACTTATTTAGTCTGTTTGGGCTGCTTTAATAGACTGCTGTAGACTTGGTGGTTTACAAACAACAGAAATTTATTTCTCACAGTTCTGGAGGCTGGAAAGTCTAAGATCAATGCACCAGCAGATTTGGTGTCTGGTGAGGGCCTTCTTCCTGGTTCATAGACTTCCATCTTTTTGCTGTGCCCTCAGTTGGTGTAAGGGATGAGGGAGCTCCCTGGGGTTTCTTTTATTAGGGCACTAATTCCTTTCATGAGGGCTCTACCTTCTTCCCTAATTATCTCTCAAATGCCCCACCTCCAAATACCATCACATTGAGTATTAGATTTCAATATATGAAGTCTGAGGGAGAGGAGAACTTTTAGTCAATAGTGACATAGAACACTGGGAAGCATCAGCAAATAGTACTGAATAACTCATTTTGAAGCATCTGAAAATACAGTATGAAAAGGACTTCTGATCCTACAGAAGCCTCATGTTCTCTTTATATGTGTATTATCTAGCATTTTCTATGATATTCCTTTAAATATGAGGATGATATATACTCCCATTAGATCAATTTTCTACCATTAACATTTTTTTTCCATTAATTTCTAACTAGTTTCGTTGCCAATTGTCTTGTTTTCTCAGCTGAATAACCAATACATTTAGGCAACTATTTAGGTGTATGGCACACTTGAAGGAAACTTATTAGAACACACAAACCAAAGCTGTTCACTCTTACCATTAAAAACATAATGTAACTGAGTTGAATGAACCCATTGAGGGATTCATTTTTTTCCCAAGAAAAACTATAAAGTTATTCCTCACAAACCAATATCATTGCCCCCACCACAATTAGATGTTAGGGATCAGATAAAATGTTATTGCACTTACCACTGTGAACCACAAAGCCTTCAAAAAATGCCAAATTCACTTAGATAACCAAAGAAGTGCACTGCTTAGGGCAAATAACCTGTTTCGTAGAAAAAGTTAATCCATGTAACAGTTTTATATTCCAGCTCCATACTTAGAAAAAAGTGAAAAAGTTCACTTCACATATATTATTAAGTAATGTAAGTATGGAGTGTTTATATGTATAGAATGCCTGACACAGAGCAAATGTTCAATGTGTATTAGCACTTATCATCATAGGGATGATTTGTGTGGTTATTGTCAGAAATACTACTAAACATTACTTGGTGGCTTTTGGTTAAATCCTTTTTAAGAAAATTAAGGTCTATTTTTTTCACCTTGCCAATTATGCCACAAAGTGGATTATGTCTAATGTGAGAGCACTGTAGTTTTTGTTAATTTTTTTGTTGGTTTCGCCACACAAAGTGTCTAGTGTCAAATAATACTTGGCCAGCTGCTTTAAGTATGTTGTGATAGTTTTAAATAGATGGATAGTCTAAAGTGAAAATGACCTTTGTGACCCAAGAAACCAGAACTGGTACTGAGCATGGGTAGCAGTTGGTAGGCAAAATTTACAGGAAAACCTTTAGCAATGAGGACCCAGATAACTGCAACCATATGTAATAGGACTCTAATGGGTGGCCTTCTGTATTACACTGGATCTCACTAAGCAGTATCTTCTTTACAAAGAACAGTGGCATTGAGGTTCTGGACATAAACCTCTTACCATCTCAGAACAAATCTATGTTTGGGCTGAGGAAGGCCTCAAGAACAAGGTCTTAAAAGGACAAAGACCACGAGTAATCTTGTGAAAACAGTCAAGAATCAGTATGACCTAAGTGTGTAGGCTGAGTGACGGAGTTTCTTTGTTTATTTCACTGAATTGTAATATTAGGAAAGATCTGAGTGTCAATAGTCACTCTTTCGAACATCCCCTTTCTCTTTTCATTAACCACCACTTTTGAGGAGTGATTTGGGTGTAGTTGCAACCGAACTGGCCTGGACTGAAAAGTTCCTGCCTTGCCCACACCATCTTGTTTCTCAAGGCTGTCTTTAGTTTTGGTGAATGCTATTTCCTTTCTGAGAACTGCTGAGGTAGTGGGGGTGGAAGTAGATGTTTGGCTGAGTTTTGTCCTGTGGGGGAAGGGCAGGGCTAGCCTTCTGAGCACCAGCTTCTGCTTTTGTGGGCTTGGTTTCTTAAATGCCTGGTTCCTTTTTATAAATGACAGTAAATTTAGTCTGAGCAGGCCTATGAAATCCCCTTTCTGGGAACAAATGACTGAGGGTTCAGGGTGTGGCTAATTTTCTTTGCCCAAACTCTTGTCCACAATTTTGCTCAATATACCCACTTGGTTTTCTGTCTATTGTTAATCTTTTAAAGGTCTTGTCAAGCTTTTTTTTAAAAAGGTCTGATTTAAATATTGTTTCTGTGAGAATGTTTTTTGCCTGTGTTGAAACACAACTTTGAGGAAAACCCTTTGAAGCATCAAGTCTTGTCAGATAATCAGAGCTTCTGATCCAGATTACGAATCTTTGGGAGCCCTGAGGTTGGATGTGGTTCTATGACTGACGTATCTCATCGTTAGTTTTATTTGATGTTGAAATCCTACTGATATTATTTTATACCACTTTCCAGCATTGCATCAGTGTCTCTGGCAGTATGGACCTTATTTGTTTATGAAAATGGAAGCTTCTAGCTCCTTAAGAATGTCTTGACTCTCCTGCTTATGCTGTGATTATCTTTGAAACTCTTCTCAGGCTCTAATATATCTTATCTATGTTGCTTGTTTGTAGATGTTAGGGAAGCGGTGGCTCATCTAAAAATATTCACAAAGAATCAAGGAAAACTTAAGGCTTCTGCCATGCAAATTGTGATACTCTTCCAAACATTTCTGCTACCATCACAAATAACTAACCAGATGCCTCTTTAAAGCTCTCAGATGTATCTTACTGCCAGTAAATTATTTCTTAAGTCTGCTTTTCCTCTTAAAATTCCACCATCAAGTCTAAAAATTACCTTTAAGCTGGAAGGCTCTGGGGTCAAAATTGCTTAGATTCAAAACCATTTGGCCATTCTCTAGCTATCTGGTCTCTATCAAGTTTCATCATCTGTGAAATGGGGATAAACAGTAGCAGTCACCTTGTAAGATCAATGAAAGGGTTAAGCAACCATAGTGTAAGCCATTACAGTTTTTTTTTCTTTACCAGTAGAACATAGGCAAGGTAAAAATATTATCTAGTCTTTACTAGGCAATGGTTGGACAGTTTATGATCCCATGTAATCCTCTGTGAGGCAGGCAACCTTTAATTTTTCAGATGATTAAATCATAACTATAAAGCCTAATCAATTTTCTTAAAGGTCACACAGCTGGTAAACAGTTAGAGCCCAGGTTTATTTCTAAAGTACATGCCCTTTTCACTGTAGGACATAAGGAAACTTTATTCATCTTTTTTTTTTTCTTCCAGGTTATAACGTTTCAGGGTTTCCAACTGCTGGTGTATGACTTCTTTGGCTGTATAAAAACAAGTGCACTTGATAACTCATGAAAAGATCTGGAAGAAATTTTAATGCACATTACTGAAATGAATGAAAGAAGCCAATCTGAAAATATTATATATATAGCACGATTCCAACTATGTGATATTCTGGAGAAGGCAAAACTATGGAGACTATAAAAAGATCAGTGGTTGCCAGGGGTTTTGGAAGAGGGAAGGACGAACATGTGGCACACAGACTTTTAGGGCAGTGAAACTACTTTGTATTATACTGGAATGGTGGATATATGGCATTACACATCTGTCCAAACCCATAAAATGTACACCATCAAAAGTGAACCTAACGTAGTCTATGAACTTTAGGTGATAATGATAATGTGTTAAGGTAGGTTCTTCAAAATGTATCACTTTGGTGGAAGAAGCTGAAAATGAGTTAAGGCTCTCAGTGTGTGGGGGCAGGGGTGGGGAATCTCTGGACCCTTCTCTAAATTTTTTGTGAACTTAAAACTGCTCCAAAAAATAGTTTGTTTAAACAAACAAGTGCAGAGAAGAAAAGCAAAATGGGGAAGGGGAAGGAAAAATTAAGTTTGCGAAGAAAACTTGTCTATCTTGTCTGTCTGCCTGCCTCTTACTGTAAGAGTCAAAAGTGCAAGACCGGAACAGAGGATTTGTGTTTTAAGTCCTGCTGGCTCTCAAGTTGCTGGGTAACCTTCAGTCAACTACCTCTTTTCCGGATCTCAACTTAAATGTTTAAAATGAGGCTGTTGAACTGACCTCCAATTCTCTTCTGGTACTAGAATTCCAGCCTTGCAGCTAAGAACTTACCTGCTTGCTTTTTTCCTTCCACCCTGAGCAGCCGCCGTTGCCTGAACCGTGTAATTACTGGACTGTACCTTCTTTAACATACCCAGAGGGTCCTAAACACAGCAGCCATTCCCCGTGACACAGGGCTAAAGCGCAGGGATGGAGGACTGAATTTCCGATGAAAAAGGGCAAAGAAAACCCCACAGTGGACAGACCGCAAGACACGAGCTACGGTACACGCGCAGGTTTGACCGCAGGAACAGCGGCAGAGGGCGGGGCGGGGCGGGGCGGGGCGGGGCCTGCTGGGAGAGGAGGCTGTGCGAGCGTCACCCGCCCGCTCGCGTCCCTTCGCTTCCCCTCCTCCGTGCCGGAGGGCGGGGCGGCGGGCGAGCCGACGCCTTGTGACGTCACAGGGGCGGGGTGTCCTTGGGGTCCTGCGGACGCGCGGGCGCATTCCGCAGTCGCTGTTTGGGACGCTGGGTGTGCGGTTGCTCGTTGTCCCCTCCCGGTTTGCTGTCACAGCTGGTCCCTCGCCGGAGTCCAGGGCAGACAGGGCGCGCGTCCTTGTTTGTGTGTGTGTGTGTCTGCGTGTCACGCGCGCAGGATTCAGGGCTGAGGCGTCCCCTCACTGCCTTTTTTTTTCTCCTAAGAGAGGGCAGTTTGCACTCTTGCCTCGTTGCCCGGTTGGGAGTGTTTTTTTGTTTTTTTTTTTTGTGAGCGCTTTTTTTATTTAAGGCTCCGTGCTGTCGGGGCTTGTTACTCGATCTCTGGCTAACTGCTTTCTGCCCCTTCAGTTGCCATTCCCACCCAAGGTCGCCCCTCCGCCCTCGACCCTGGCCCGGGAGGGTGGGAAGCTTCGTCCCGCTCCCTGCCCACCCGCGTCTCCGCAGCTGTAGCCGCACCTGCCTAACTATGAATGGGGTCAACGACCCACCTCTTTTTATAAAAGATATTAAGCCCGGACTGAAAAACTTAAATGTCGTCTTTATTGTCCTGGAGATAGGTAAGTGGGGTCCGCAGCCCGGCAGCCACCCGCCGCGTTCCGGGCAGGAGGGAAGCGCGCCGCCGCTGCCGCGAGCCGGGAGTTCTCCTCCCCCACCTCCCCGTCCACGTGGTCCAGTGGCCCGGCAGGGCTCGGGTGCTCCTGCGGCGAGGTCCTGGGACTGCGGCTCTCCCGCTGCTCAGACCCCTTGTGACCCCGGAGGTGGAGTGTGCCTTCTGGAAGTCCTCGTTATCTAATACACCCCTTCCCCTTGTTGATTTTTAAATCCTCACAGGACGCGTGACCAAAACCAAAGACGGCCATGAAGTGAGATCATGCAAAGTAGCAGATAAAACGGGCAGCATCACTATATCCGTGTGGGATGAAATCGGAGGTCTTATACAGCCAGGGGATATTATACGATTGACCAGAGGGTAGGTGTGCATAACGCAGAGGGGTGCGCGGGGCAGAGTGCTGCTTAAGTGGCCGTCTGCGGAATAGGAATTGCCTGAGGTCGGGGACCTTGGCAAGTTCCAGAATTTCATGCCTTTTCTCTGGGCCACTCCGAGGAGTTAAGAGACCCTTACACGTTCACTTTGATGGTGGAGAGCGTTGGGATATAAGGTCCGTGCCTTTAAAACCGGTCAGTCTCAGCCGGGAATCTAACCTCCCCCATACCCTAACCTCAGTCTGTAGGTTACGTAGATCTTTAAATACTGATACGGGGTTATTGAGTCTTTTTGGTAAATAATGTTAGCAGAGTCAATACTTAATCTTTTTCATAAGTTATTTAATTTGTCACTTAGTTCTTTTCGAACCTTTTCCTCTTTTTAATGACTTGAAATCCTACCAGTATTTTACATGTACTCAACTTTATTTAGACAGTGTGGGAATTAAGACTGTAGTACAGAATTTAGCAGTTTTTGTGATATGTCAAATTTGAACTCTGATGTAAAAGTTAAGAGGGGAAGGTCACAATATTTGGAAGGCACATTCTCAAAAATGATTTCCTGTGCCTATTGCTATAAGGTCAGTGTTGTAGAAATACCAGAATGATATGCAGAAAATGTTTGGTAGAAAGATGTCTGTAATACTTCCATCCATAAGAGTCAGTTGGTAGATTGCGTTTTAAAAATAATTTAGCACAACTATTTTTTTGCTTGGTAGTTAGACTACCTTTAAAAACTTACCAAGTCTTTATCTTAGGAAGGTAAAAGGTCAGGAAAGGGTCTTGAAAAATAGATTTTGGAATTTTTGTGGTCAACAGAATTGTAGTAATTTATTGTTCATAACTATAGAAAAAGTGGGTGGAGATTGATTTTTGGTGTTAGTACGTAGAACCTCAACGAAGCTTTGGATCATCTAGAATGCAGAGCTTACAGCCCTTGAATAATATCTTACAGGCCTTACAACATCTTCAGGAAGTGAGGCAGCATCAAAGAAGGAAGTGAGAGTCAGGACTTAGACATTTTATTCTCATACACTGACTCATTATGACACTAATTGTGTCTTTTAAGTTTCCACATCTCTAACTTAATACACAAAAAAATTCCTGCATGGGAGGGTATGGTTAGGATTAGCATAAAGTTTTTTGGCTGCCAAAGTATCTCATGTAGTGACCAGAAGTGTTTTATACACTGTAAGCAGCATCTCTTTCCAAGTATTTCATATTCTGCAGTCATAGAAAATACTTAGATGGGACCATCAAAAAAACTGTGGAAAAAACTAAGTTCAGTAGCCATATAATATCCGGGATTTCAAGGAGTACAATTTAACCTAAAATTCAAAACTAAAGAAACTTATTTCCTAATTTCAATTTGATGAAGTTATTACACTTCCACTTCCTCTTGTGTAAATGGGAATAATTATACTCACTAAACACATCCAGCAGAGTCTGGCCCATTGTAAGACCATTAAATTCTAGCTGAATCTAAAAAAAGTGGCTTTAAGGAAGACATACATCTAAATAATCGTAATTGACATGTTTATCAGAAAACCCTGCAAACATTGATCTTATTACTGATACAAGTGAAATTAAATGTTTAATTACATAACTTCAAATTTTTTCTCAAAATATGCATTAATTTTTATGTAGGGGACATTCTAGTGCACTGTTTTCCAAGTTACTGTACAGTAGAATGGTGAATGGAGTCTTTAATTAGTAACCCTTTCTAAATGAAGAGAATTAGCAAATTTGCATTTACTTACCTTAAAAGATAAGTTAATCATTATACTTAGTTATAATTTATTATTATAAGCCATGAAATTACCACAGTAGTTGTATTAAAAAACCCCACTAAAAACCAAACCTTGGACTGATTTTTCAGTATTGATTAATTTACATTTTTTCTTAGATTTGTGTGTAGGATTATTTTTATCTAATGATGCTGTCTGCATTCAAAATTGTTCGGTCAAGTTGGTGTTAAAAATTGCAAATTTAGAAAGGCAGATAGGTGAAAGATTTGTGATCTTAGTTTTTTTCAGCCCTTCATTAAATTTTACCAAATTTTCAGTAGTTTGGGAACCCTCTGTTTTATGGAGGTAAAGGAAAAACCATTATATCAGTATCTGACTAGACCAAGTGAATGACTGCAAAAATAAACACAGGATGTTCAGTATATGTATCCTGTTATTGAAATATAATTTTCACTTTGCAATTGAAGGTCCTCCCTTTGTTATTTAACTAAAGATGTGATCTTTGGGGTATAACAATGCTTGGTTTGTGAAAAGACTATTTTCCAGGGTTTGTTGTAGTTTCGATGATTCTGTCACAATTTGCAACAGAGTTTTCTTTGTATTTTTCCTTAGTAACACGTTAACCAAAATTGGGTTAATTGTAATTGATTTACTGTGGGTAAATCTATGGATTTTAGTACTTACTGTGGGTAAGTCTATGGGTAAATACAGTGTATTTTATTTACATGGTTTTTGATCCTCACTGCATCCCGATACAAAAAATACAGTATAAAAATATATTTGATTTAACTAGAAGCTTATATACATAAACTGATGTTTCTTTCTAGCTATGCATCCATGTGGAAAGGATGTCTGACACTTTATACTGGAAGGGGTGGAGAACTTCAAAAAATTGGAGAGTAAGTATTAAAATGCATTTCATTTAAATTTAATAAATTACAGATAGTATCTACATAATAACTGGTAGGTATAATCTATAAACTTCTTCCTTGGCTTTTTTTTTTGAGGATTAAACTGATTGCCTTCAGTAATTTAATTGTAAAAATAACTTCACATGTATGTAGTTTAAGAGCTATAGCTATCAATACTGTCTCCTATGGTTAATTGTGTCAGTTTTTCCTGGCAAAAAGCATTAAGAAGCTGCATTTGAGACAAGCCCCAGTGGGAACATTTTGTAGTCTGTGGGAGCATGCGTCTTTCAGGTGTCATAAATGCCATTTGAATTAGATTCTGTCTTCTAGTGAATTGCCAAATAAGCTAGGTATAGGTTTCATGCCCTAAGTTTACATTTTGTTTTTTCTCTGTTAATGGGTGAATATGTACTTGTGGTAAAAGGACTTGCAGCAATGACAGTGTGGTCCTATATGTGTCTACAGTCTAGGTACCATACAGGCAGCTGCAATGCAAGCTTCCATATACTGCTACCTGGTACTCTTTACCCTGACTTTAAGGAACCATCCTTTTTAGGGGTGTTAAGGTAATTTAGCCTCCATGCTAGCCTACACATTTGGGATGTACTCATAAAATATGGTGTTAGGCAAGTGAGCCAAATCATTAGTTCATTCGTTTCATTAATGCCTAGAGATTTACCTAATGTCCTTCAAATTGGAGGATATTTAAAGGGAGAAGTCACAAGTGGCACAAAAAAAGAAAAAAGAAAAATGTTTTCCATCCTGTAAGGTTAAGATACTTTGTTTGGTAAAAATAAGCAATCACGTTAGCCTTTAAAAGATCAGAAACTGGTAAAATTTTGCCTTCACTAGGAGGAAAATTGGGATTTCCTTCTGTTTGTATTTTGAGTAGTATTCGAGCAGTGTTTATGAAAGGTTATAGCATCAGTATTACCAGAAGATTTAGGATCCTGCCCTGACTTTAATATATAAAGAAGTACTTATAATAATGGAGATCGGTATGTGAAAAACCACTCAATTCTTAGTGACTTTGTCAGGGTCAGTCTAGGATTTGCCAAAACTGGTTCTGATTTCTTATTTGTGGGGTGAGGAGCTAAGAAAATGCTCATGTGTAATGTTATATACACCATAGTCAGTTTATGAGAAGCACTGGGATAAACTGTTGTCTTGATAGCCAGTTATCTGTATTCATATCTGAAGAATCCACTCTTAACCTTGAATGATTATCTTTGCAGATTCACAGTGATTGGTCAAAAGAGGGACTGGATGAGAGTGTGTGAATGGATCAAGGCATATCCATCACCACTGCTGGAAAAACCACTCAGGAACCCTACACATGGTTCAGTGGCATAGTCTGTGGAAAAACAGAACAAAGGAGTGTTTCTGTGTCTTTGCTCTTTGACATGTTTTTTTTTTAATAGTAAAGAAGAATAATTAAATACAAAATGGAGTGTTTTATACAGGCTATCAAAATGTTTGGTTTCTTATGGAACATAAGCATTTAGGAAATTGTTACAATCGAATAGAGTTAGTTAGCATGTTGCTTTTTAGTCAATTCATTTGACACCTAAATTCTTCATTCCTGTAAATTGGGTATGCTATGTAAAGAAAGGTTGATTCCTTTATTTCAGAAGTCATTTAATTTGTCCTTCATTTTCTTTCAGATTTTGTATGGTTTATTCAGAAGTGCCAAATTTCAGTGAACCCAACCCAGATTATCGAGGCCAACAGAACAAAGGGGTAATTAATCCAAATGTATAGTCTATTTTTGTGATTAGGCCAAAATCTGACTGTAATTCTATGGCTACATTGCCAGCAAGAATTTTAAAAGGAATCTTTTAAGTCATGCATTCCATATGTTTGGTGAGTCTGTGTATGTTCAGTATCATATTAATTAAACATATGTGCCAGTTAGCACTTGGTGGAGTGGGAGTAATACCAGGAAATGCAAAAAGATGTAGCCAGAAGCTGTGAAGGTTTGGGAAACATTCCTGAATATTAACATTGAATAAACTTGGATAAATCTTTTAAAAATTTGTTCAAAAATTGAAATAAAGAGTATGTACAATATGTTATTATAAATGTTTTTTCTAAATCTTCATTTGGATAAATAAAAAAATTTTTTTTAGGCTCACAATGAACAGAAGAATAATTCCATGAATGGTAATATGGGTACAGGTACATTTGGATCAGTGGGTAAGATTTTTTTTATTTTTCTTGTATATTTGTGATCAGGTGAAATAATTAAGGGACTATATATTATGAAATATTTAGAGGAAAAAATTGTCTTTAGGCATTAGTACTAAAAGACAACTGCTAGAAAATAGGGAATTCCCAAATAACTGATTTTCTAGAAAGCAGATATTCTCTCAAGTTAATTTATTGAGCACATTCTATATTTAAACATTTGGGCCAGTTACTGAAAATACAGTGGTGAACACTGGCTAATAATAACAAATCTAACTTTCGGTGATGCATCATATGGGATAAACTGTTGTCTTGATAGCCAGTTATCTGTATTCATATCTGAAGAATCCACTCTTAACCTTGAATGATTATCTTTGCAGATTCACAGTGATTGGTCAAAAGAGGGACTGGATGAGAGTGTGTGAATGGATCAAGGCATATCCATCACCACTGCTGGAAAAACCACTCAGGAACCCTACACATGGTTCAGTGGCATAGTCTGTGGAAAAACAGAACAAAGGAGTGTTTCTGTGTCTTTGCTCTTTGACATGTTTTTTTTTTAATAGTAAAGAAGAATAATTAAATACAAAATGGAGTGTTTTATACAGGCTATCAAAATGTTTGGTTTCTTATGGAACATAAGCATTTAGGAAATTGTTACAATCGAATAGAGTTAGTTAGCATGTTGCTTTTTAGTCAATTCATTTGACACCTAAATTCTTCATTCCTGTAAATTGGGTATGCTATGTAAAGAAAGGTTGATTCCTTTATTTCAGAAGTCATTTAATTTGTCCTTCATTTTCTTTCAGATTTTGTATGGTTTATTCAGAAGTGCCAAATTTCAGTGAACCCAACCCAGATTATCGAGGCCAACAGAACAAAGGGGTAATTAATCCAAATGTATAGTCTATTTTTGTGATTAGGCCAAAATCTGACTGTAATTCTATGGCTACATTGCCAGCAAGAATTTTAAAAGGAATCTTTTAAGTCATGCATTCCATATGTTTGGTGAGTCTGTGTATGTTCAGTATCATATTAATTAAACATATGTGCCAGTTAGCACTTGGTGGAGTGGGAGTAATACCAGGAAATGCAAAAAGATGTAGCCAGAAGCTGTGAAGGTTTGGGAAACATTCCTGAATATTAACATTGAATAAACTTGGATAAATCTTTTAAAAATTTGTTCAAAAATTGAAATAAAGAGTATGTACAATATGTTATTATAAATGTTTTTTCTAAATCTTCATTTGGATAAATAAAAAAATTTTTTTTAGGCTCACAATGAACAGAAGAATAATTCCATGAATGGTAATATGGGTACAGGTACATTTGGATCAGTGGGTAAGATTTTTTTTATTTTTCTTGTATATTTGTGATCAGGTGAAATAATTAAGGGACTATATATTATGAAATATTTAGAGGAAAAAATTGTCTTTAGGCATTAGTACTAAAAGACAACTGCTAGAAAATAGGGAATTCCCAAATAACTGATTTTCTAGAAAGCAGATATTCTCTCAAGTTAATTTATTGAGCACATTCTATATTTAAACATTTGGGCCAGTTACTGAAAATACAGTGGTGAACACTGGCTAATAATAACAAATCTAACTTTCGGTGATGCATCATATTATTTCCCATTGATTTTTATAAAATTTCCATTGATTTTATAAAATATAGATGCAGAATTACTGGTTGTTTTCATGAGCTGAAAGCCTTTTATCTTCAGAATAATAATAGCTCACCTTAATTTTTCATATACTGCTAGCTACCTCTTTAAAAACAGACCTTTACTCCTCAAGTACCCTTAGATGTCATGTTAATGGTTCTTGCAAACATGTTAAAAGTCTTTTGAAGTCTTTATCCTTGAATAACTGAGGAAAAGTCTTTTGTGACTGGATTTCATTGGGGTGGCTGAAGTTTTTATTTGACCTGATGGCTACATGCTGTGCTGTAGCACAGCTGATGGTCATCACATTGTGGGAAACTTTCTTTCTTTTCCTTTAAATATTAGAGTTACTTGTCTCTTTTGAAACATTACCCTATTTGAACCAAATGCCAGTACTCATACACTACTTTGTCCTTTTTCTTTTTTTTACCCTTATAATGTAGGAAGTGTGTTATCTGTGCTTTTTTCATACTCTACTAATTTCTCATTCTGTTACCCCAGTTATTCTTTTTTCTCTCTATTAATGAAGCATGAAGTTAATATATTCACAGTAATCATGTTTGGAAAAACTTAGAATCTACATCAAGTTTTTCCATAGTTTAAAAATACAGGCAATTGTTTTCCCTAATGTTACCTGTAGGTGTTAATAGCATGTATTAGAACTTCAAATGATTGTACTTCTATAGGTCAGTATCTGAAAATGATGATGAATTTCTATATTCTTTTTTTAGGAAACGGGTTTGAAACTGGCCCAGAATCAAGGGGATGCCAAGTTTCATATGCTGGTAGAAGCAATGGTCGGGGACCTATAAATCCACCAAGAACAGCTAATAATCAAACAGTCATGACCACAATAAGTAATGGCAGGGACCCTCGGAGAGCGTTTAAGAGATAACCTATGCCAAATACTCATGTAGTTTTTAAACTATATTCCCTACTTGAACACTTACTGCACTTTTATTTATTGTTAACTGTGAAAACTGTTCTTTATCGGTTTCGTTCCATGTTTTTGGTTTGTTAACAAGAGTGGTTTGTTTTGATAGCAAAACTGTACGGCTGTTCAAGTCTCCTACTGAAGAATGGGAACACTCTGAAAAGTAGGGGCATTTATTTTTAGAGCAAAAAAACTTTGAATATTCTCTAAAAAAAACCTGCACCCATTGGTGCAGTTACATAAGATACCAACATTATAGCCTCTGTGAGTCTATCTTCTGTGTAAATTTTGTAATATTTAAAATAAGGCTTACCGGGAGATGTTCTTTTTCCTTAAATTCGTGTATTGCCAACTAAAGCAATAACCACTAAAAAATCCCCAAAATTTAGTCTATGCTAGCAGAAGTTTCTGAGTGTTTGTGAATCCAGGAATGATTGACTGCTTCATTGAATGACTGTCATTAAGATTTTTCCAAGGAGTGAATCATCCTAAACTTGTTCGATTACCAAAAAACACATTCTTTATCAGAATTATGGAATAGAATATGATCTGTATTATAACAAGTCATTTTTATAAGAAAGCTACTTTTATTTTAGGATATTCCTATTAATACTTACTATCAAAAACTGAGGCCTTGAATATTTATTTTTTGAAGTACTATGTCAAATGTTAAAGTATAATTTGAAGGAGTTACAAAGTCATAATAAATACTGATCTAATTTAAAAATTGTGGTAAATAACACATTATAGTTAAGGCAGTTCAAATTGAGTTCATGTAGAAATACACAGTTTATTTTACAGAGTCCCAATTCATGTAGAAATACACCATCTTTTTGAAGTTATAGGGTCCTAGGCACTTGGCGAAACTCAGCCTGGAGTAAAAATCTGAGGTACTCTATTTAAAGGTGTGTGTGTGTGTGTGTGTGTGTGTTTCAGGTTTCAGAACACAGTCACAAAAAATCTGAGGTACTCTATTTAAAGGTGTGTGTGTGTGTGTGTGTGTGTGTGTGTTTCAGGTTTCAGAACACAGTCACAAAGCCTTATCAGTAGAAGTTAAGAAATGGCTCTCTTAAAAAAGCAAATACAGCTTTATTTAGAAATGTACCAGTAGAATTTATTTGTGTTGTAAATGGTCCCCAGTTCCACTTTTTACTTTACGGTGGATCACTGGTAAATTTTTCCTTTGTTAATTCAACTTTTCTTTAATATTATCTCTTGAATAAAACTTGCATTAATGTTAAAAGACCTACCTTAGTTTTGTTCTTTTAGTGATGTCTAAGGAGAGCCAGGATGTACATATTATGGTAGTTTAATTTTGGCTTCAGCATGGCAACTACTTAGCTCTGTATTTGCCGCTTTGTCTTTTTTTCTCCCACCTCAAATCTCAAAGTAATTTAGGTAGACTTTGCTTTCTGACCTTAGCATTTAAATATAAAAACTTGTGCCAGATTATTTGTCTAATTCAGCGTATCTAATTAATATTTCAGTGCCCACTACATTAGGTACCATGTGAAGGGTATTAGTGGTAGATGAAATAATGGATATTCTTGAGTTTGTTTATGATCTATATAGTACTTCAGTAATAGGGATTTATATATTACTGATAAAAGTTTTCCCTTTCTTCATATACTAATGATTATAGTTAATTTGGCTTTGTGGCTAAGATGTTCACAAAATTACAGATGCTTAAAGAAAAAAGGTACAAAGTAGTGTGTAATTTTTTCTTTTAAATCTATGAGGTAGGAACAATATAAGATATTTGTAGGAGAATATAGTGTTAAAGGTGATTTTAAAAGAAAGAATTTTGGAGTTTGGAAAATTGAAATAATCAGGTAAGGATTGCCGAGCTCCCAATCTTGGCCGCGTTATCTCGTTACCTGTGATGTTGGACCTGCTATTACACCTGAAACCTCTGTAAGCCTCAGGTTCCACAACTATAAAAACAAGTAAGTAACACATAACCCTTTGTAAAGTTATTTAAGGTTTTCAATGGGAGTGGTTAGAATGATTTCTGGCACATGATCAGTCACATGGTTGTCTAATCATACCTCAAGAGAAAAAAAAAACACAAGGTTAGGAAGTATGGATACCTCTTACTATGTTGAGATTAAAGAGAGACCTAAGCTTTTACTTTTGTGACTGATATTTGCCTCAATAATTTAACCTTGTTCTGTGTTCTTTTTTATTAACCAATTTCTTTTTTCTTAAGGGAAGCCTCCAAAACCAAAGCAAAGTGAGTTACAATCCATAGTGAACATTTGCCTTACCAGTCTTCTCGGACAGCACTCATCAAGAAGTTAACAGGAAGGAAGATGCCTACCTTTTTCCATCACGGTGCTTCCAGCTGTCAAATTTTAAATAAGTTTAAACACCTACCTAAAACAAAAAGCATCTAGGTTAAAAATACACACACCTAGGATTGTGTCCCATTTCATTTCCACAACACAGTTCTGGCGTCAACTGAGGTCTCAGCCGCCAGCTGCGCTCCTGTCTGGGCAGGTTCCGTGGGGGGTTTCACAGTACAGAGAGAAAGATGGAACCCGTAAGGCCAGAAGATACGGAAGAGTGAAGGGTGCAGTGACTTCCCCACAGGCACTTAGGTTTTTTCTGTAGTATATCAACGCTCTTTTTGCTTTATTTCTATAGTTAAAAAAATTTTTTTTATTAAGGTATTATTGATATGCACTCTTATGAAGGTTTCACATGAAAAAACAATGTGGTTACTACATTCACTCATATTATCAAGTCCCCACCCATACCCCAATGCAGTAACTGTTCATCAGTGTAGTGAGATGCCACAGATTCACTGTTTGCCTTCTCTGTGCTACACTGTTTTCCCCGTGATCCCCCACACCATGTGTGCTAAACATAATACCCTTCAATCTCCTCCCTTCCTCCCCAACCACCCTCTCCAGTCCCTTTCCCTTTGGTAACCACTAGTTCCTTGGAGTCTGTGAGTCTGCTGCTGTTTTGTTCCTTCAGTTTAGCTTTGTTTTTATACTCCACAAATGAGGGAAATCATTTGTCCCTTGTCTTTCTCTGCCTGGCTCATTTCACTGAGCATAATAGTATCCTCCAGCTCCATCCATATTGTTGCAAATGGTAGGATTTGTTTGTTTCTTATGGCTGAATAGTATTCCATTGTGTATATGTACCACCTCTGCTTTATCTGTCTACTGATGGACACTTAGGTTGCTTCCATATCTTGGCTATTGTAAAAAGTGCTGTAATAAACATAGTGGTGCATATGTCTGAATCTGAGAAGTATTTGGGTAAATTCCAAGGAGCGGGATTCCCGGATCAAATGGTATTTCCATTTTGAGTTTTTTGAGGAACCTCCATATTGCTTTCCACAATGGCTGAACTAGCTTACATTCCCACCAGCAGAATAGGAGGGTTCCCCTTTCTCTGCGTCCTCACCAACAGTTGTTCTTAGTCTTTTCCATGCTGGCCATCCTTACTGGTGTGAGGTTTTAATTTGCATTTCCCTGATTAGTGATGTGGAGCATCTTTTCATGTGTCTATTGGCCATCTGAATTTCTTTGGAGAACTGTCTCTTCATATCCTCTGCCCATTTGTTAATCAGGTTATTTGCTTTTTGGGTGTTGAGGTGTGAATTCTTTATATATTTTGGATGTTAACCCCTCGTCGGATATGTCATTTACAAATATATTTTCCCATATTGTAGGATGCCTTTTTGTTCTGTTGATGGTGTCCTTTGCCATACAGAAACTTTTTAGTTTGATATAGTCCCATGAGTTCATTTTTGCTTTTGTTTCCCTTGCTCAAGGAGATGTGTTCAGGAAGAAGTTGCTCATGCTTATATTCAGGAGATTTTTGCCTATGTTGTCTTCTAAGAGTTTTATGGTTTCATTACTTACATTCAGGTCTTTGGTCCATTTTGAGTTTACTTTTGTGTATGGGGTTAAACAATAATCCAGTTTCATTCTCTTGCATGTAGCTGTCCAGTTTTGTCAACACCAGCTGTTGAAGAGGCTATTATTTCCCCATTTATATCCATGGCTCCTTTATCATATATTAATTGACTATATATGGTTGGGTTTATATCAGGGCTCTCTAGTCTGTTCCATTGGTCTGTGGGTCTGTTCTTGTGCCAGTACCAAATTGTCTTGATTACTGTGGCTTTGTAGTAGAGCTTGAAGTCAGGGAGCATAATCCTCCCAACTTTTCTCTTCTCAGGATTGCATTGGCTATTCGGGGTCTTTTATGGTTCCGTATGAATTTTAGAACGATTTTCTCTAGTTTGTTGAAGAATGCTGTTAGTATTTTGATAGGAATTGCATTGAATCTGTAGATTGCTTTAGGATGCCCATTTTGACAATATTAATTCTTCCTATCCATGAGCATGGGATGTGTTTCCATATATTGGTTTCTTTAATTTCTCTCAAGTGTATTGTAGTTTTCAGAGTATAGGTCTTTCACTTCCTTGGTTAGGTTTATTCCTAGGTATTTTATTCTTTTTGATGCAACTGTGAATGGAATTGTTTTCCTGATTTCTCTCTCTGCTAGTTCATTGTTAGTATATAGGAATGCCACAGATTTCTGCATATTAATTTTGTATCCTGCAACTATGCTGAATTCAGGTATTCGATCTAGTAGTTTTGGAGTGGATTCTTTAGGGTTTTTTTATGTACAATATCATGTTGTCCGCAAACAGGGACAGTTTAACTTCTTCCTTGCCAATCTTGATGCCTTTTATTTCTTTGTGTTGTCTGATTGCTGTGGCTAGGACCTCCAGTACTATGTTGAATAGAAGTGGGGAGAGTGGGTGTCCTTGTTCCTGATCTTAAAGGAAAGGCCTTCAGCTTCTCGCTGTTAAGTATAATGTTGGCTGTGGGTTTGTCATATATTGCCTTTATTATGTTGAGGTACTTGCCCTCCATGCCCATTTTTTTGAGAGTTTTTATCGTGAATGGATATTGAATTTTGTCAAATGCTTTTTCAGCATCTATGGAGATGATCATGTGGTTTTTATCCTTTTTGTTGATGTGGTGGATGATGTTGATAAATATTTGAATGTTGTGCCATCCTTGCATCCCTGGAATAAATCCTGGTTGATCATGATGGATGATCTTTTTGATGTACTTTTGAATTTGGTTTGCTAATATATTGTTGAGTATTTTTGCATCTATGTTCATCAGGGATATTGGTCTGTAATTTTCTTTTTTTGGGGTGTCTTTGCCTGGTTTTGGTATTAGAGTGATGCTGGCCTCATAGAATGAATTTGGAAGTATTCCCTCTTCTACTCTTCAGAAAATTTTAAGGAGGATGGGTATTAGGTCTTCACTAAATGATAAAATTCAGTGGTGAACCCATCTGGTCCAGGTGTTTTTGTTCTTAGGTAGGTTTTTGATTACCAGTTCAATTTTGTTGCTTGTAATTGGTCTGCTCAGTTTTTCTGTTTCTTTCTGGGTCAGCCTTGGAAGGTGTATTTTTCTAGAAAGTTGTCATTTCTTCTAGGTTATCCAGTTTGTCAGCATGTAATTTTTCATAGTATTCTTTAATAATTCTTTGTATTTCTATAGTGTTTGCAGTGATTTTTTCTTTCTCATTTCTGATTCTGTTTATCTGAGTAGATTCTCTTTTTTTCTTAGTAAGTCTGGCTAGGGGTTTATCTATTTTGTTTATTTTCTCAAAGAACCAGGTCTTACTTTGATTGATTCTATTGTTTTATTCTTCTCGATTTTATTTATTCACACTCTAATCTTTATTATGTACCTCCTTCTACTGACTTTGTTCTCATTTGTTGTTCTTCTAGTTTCATTAATTGTGAATTTAGACTGCTCATATGGGATTGTTCTTTCCTGAGGCAGTCCTGTATTGCAATATACTGTCCTTATAGCACGGCCTTCGCTGTGTCCCACAGATTTTGCAGTGTTGAAGAATTCTTGTCATTTGTCTCCATATATTGCTTGATCTCTGTTTTTATTTGGTCATTGATCCATTGGTTATTTAGGAGCATGTTGTAAAGCCTCCATGTGTTTGTGGGATTTTTCATTTTCTTTGCGTAATTTCTAGTATCATACCTTTGTCTTCTGAGAAACGGGTTGTACAATTTCAGTCTTTTTGAATTTACTGAGGCTCTTTATGGCCTAGTATATGATCTATGCTTGATAATGTTCCATGTGCACTTGAGAAGAATGTGTATTCTGCTGCTTTTGGGTGTAGAGTTCTGTAGATGTCTGTTAGGTCCATCTGTTCTAATGTGTTGTTCAGTGCCTCTGTCTCCTTATTTATTATCTGTCTGGTTGATCAGTCCTTCAGAGTTAGTGGACTGTTGAAGTCTCCTAGAATGAATGCATTGCATTCTGTTTCTCCTTTTAATTCTGTTAGTATTTGTTTCACATATGTAGGTGCTCTTGTGTTGGTCACATAGATATTTATAACAGTTATGTCTTCTTGTTGGATTGACCCTTTTTTTCATTATGTAATGTCCTCCTTTGTCTCTTGTGACTTTCTTTGTTTTGAAGTCTATTTTGTCTGATACAAGTACTTCAACTCCTGCTTTTTTCTCCCTATTATTTGCATGAAATACCTTTTTCCATCCCTTCACTTTGAGTCTGTATATGCCTTTGGGTTTAAAGTGAGTCTTTTGTAAGCAGCATATAGATGGGTCTTGTTTTTTAATCCATTCAGTGACTCTATGTCTTTTGATTGGTGCATTCAGTCCATTTACATTTAGGGTGATTATCGATAGGTATGTACTTATTGCCATTGCAGGCTTTGAATTCGTGGTTACCAAAGGTTCAATGTTCACTTCCTTACTAAGAGTCTAACTTAACTCACTTAATATGCTATTACAAACACAATCTAAAGGTTCTTTTTTTTCTTTTCCTTTTTTTTCCTCCTCCCTTCTTTATATATTAGGTATCATTCTGTACTCTTTGTCTATCCCTTGATTGACTTTGGGGATAGTTAATTTAATTTTTATTTGCTTAGTAATCAGCTGTTCTACTTTCTTTACTGTGGTTTTATTACCTCTGGTGACAGCTATTAAACCTTAGGAACACTTCTATCTATAGCAGTCCCTCCAAAATATACTGTA